CTGCATCAGAACAGCACAAACAGCACAAAAGCATTCACTGCAAGCAAATTATACCGGGGGGAGAGGTTGGTTGGGAGGATGTGGAAAGGAGAGGCAGGAAGGGATGACTAGGTAACACTAATAAACCATCTCAGAAAGGATTAAGTGTGCCTGCTACTCTTGCTATTTCCAGTCACCAATCACACAATTTTAAAATTGCATCATGCAGCCTTTGATTACAACTACCACTGGGTATGAAAAGCTCTCTTGCTTCGTTGGTACAGACTGTTGCCAATATACACACATACAAAACACTGATGGATGTAACATCCAGCAAAATGTCTGCCATGTAGAAAAGAAGGTTTAAAGATGGAAGCTTGAACAGAATTGTCTGTCTTGGTTCATAATAAGGGTGAGAAAATTAAATTCTATTTCCACTAACAGGAGAAAAGGGAAATAAGAGAACTAAATATTACTGCCACCATCTATGGCTTTGTAAAAGGCACCATGTTCAGGAGAGCTGCCGAAGTGAACTAATTGGCTTCAAGAAAGAAATAATCATGGTGCTTTGTCACAACAATATTGCCAGCTAATCATTTGGAGAACCCAAAGTTTCATGAACTTTCACCTTGTACATGGCAACACTGGCTCAGTTCAGTAAGAGGACAGAAAACCTATGGACAATCATACAGATAACTAAATGGATATTTAATATTTTATTTGAATTAAAAGAAAAATAATCTAAGGGAGTATAGAAGAAAGAAAAAAATGAAAAGCTATCTAGGGTGATCTGAAAAATACGTCCTTTCTTCTACCAGCCACGAGAAATAGCTATGTATTATTTGATTTACTTTGCTTTCAGTAGTAGTCACTGAAATGGGGTGAGATGCATGCTGATTTTCAGTGAATAGTTAGAGGACAAATCCACCTTGAGTCTTACCTTTCTATCTAAACGCTTAGAAACACAATTGGCTTTAGGAACTTTTTCAGTCAGACTTTTCAATTGATTGGCAGTAAAAGACATGGTACCTGAAACACATGGCTTCATTTCTTTACAAGAAACAAATTATTTTACTAAAGTATTCGAAGAGAACAAGCAAGTAGGACATGAAAATATGGGGAACACATAGAAACATTTATGTCTACGAAAGCTCTATTCTTATGGAGATTGGTATCAAACAGAAAAAATTAACACAGAATTCAATGTTAAGAAAAAGGCAGGTTGCGTGTATTCCATCCCTCTGCCACAGCAAGTCAAGTTAGGTCTAGTTTACATCAGAAAAGGAAGTAAACCTAAAACCATTTAACTACATCTTTGAAATAAAAGCCAAAACATGATTACAGCTTTTAAGAAAAAACCCATTTCACTGCAAGAACAAAAGTACCTAATATAGCTTGAGCCAACAGGACATGCTTTAAGCAAGTGCTTTGATTGTTAGGGATCTCTCCTGCTGTAACTATGCTCCTGTGAACAGTAGATTCAAGGTTGACAATCACTTTTCTTAGAACAATAGAGATCAGCACTAATTAAATGCAACATGAAAACTAGCCATGAGAATTATGCAATTAATATGAAATTCTAGAAGTTTTAATACGAGTTAGGCCCCCAAATTAAGCTCATTTTCCTTCTACGAAAATTATGACTTGAAGGTGATCTGATAAGAACAAACAAAAACGTACACAGTGATTCACAAGACCATTACTCCATTTAAAATTAAAGTATCGACACAACTGAGCTTTCTAAACGTAAGTAAAATGCAATATTTTAAATTGGTGCTTGTAGTTGAGGTGCACACAAGCCACATTCCACAACATTGAGTGCATATTCAAAACACCTTATTTCAAACTTCTCGAGAGATATTAAATATGTTGTCATTTTGAAAGTGAAATGGGCCAAACTGAATGCACATGGACTCATTTGGCAGAAGTTGTGAAATACTTAAGCTATATCAACACACCAGAATTTCAGGTCTAGCCCAAAAGATCAGATAGAGCGGAGGCATTTTTAATATTGGCATCCCACTTTGTGTCAAATGAAACCCTCACCCTAGCTGCTGTCAGGTCTTTCATGCCACTAAAGTCAAGGGGTAACTTTGTATTCCACTGAGCGTTGCTCCCTAATTTCTTAAAATCTCTAGGGGAATGGGAACAGAAATATTCTACTGGAATATGTTGTATTGTTTTAGAGGAAATGAGAATGAAAAGGTGTTCATGTGACCTTGTCACTGTCCAACATCAATCAGTTTAAAAAAAAAAAAAAAGAAGGTGGTTCAGGGTTTAGAGACCTCAGCCTGCTTACTTCCATGGCAAGTACACTATTTAAAATCTTGTATTGAAGATCAAGGAGGAATATCAGCTAAAGCATTTGTAATGTAAATTATTAAATAAGGCTTTTATTTGATTTCCCCTTGTTCCCTTATCCTTTTGCTCAACAGAAGTCTTGTAAAAAGAACCCTTCCTCTCTCCCACCTCTTGCCTGACAGTCTCTTAAATGGCATTCAAGATTGTAATAACTGTGCTTTTGAGGAAAAGAGAAGTGAGTTGAGATGGGCTGGAGTAGTCATGGATGCTATTGTAAGAATCCTGTCCCTTCTCCTAGCAGGCCAAACAAGTCAAACATTCAAAAGGGGAAAAAAAATAAATACAATGATGGAAAATGCAGCTTCAGTCTGTGGTATTGATTCTCATTTGCAAACTCACTGCTTGGGAAAAACAACAACACAGGAACACCACATGATCTTCTATTTTGATACCTGGCAAACTTGTATCGCATTGGACTGTTTAGGAAATTATATTTAGCTGCCTTTTTGGTCACTGTTTACAGCAGTGACCAACTATTCAGTCTTGGCCAGCTAAACCAAACTACGGTAAGGAGAATAGGAACAGAAAAGACAAAAACATACAGCTGGGATGGGGAAAAAAACCTTACATGGGCAAGGAAAGAGGAAGACAGTTGTGTTCAGGATTTAACTATAGCTGGAGAAAGTGGCACTGCCACCTGGCAGACTCTGGTCTGGACACCCAAGGAGTAGGATGAAGGAAGTCTCAGGAAATGGTAGTGGTTGCAGTCTAGATGGCAGCTCATGCCTTCTCCTTCTTTCACTCAGCCAACATTCACATCCCCTCCATTAAGTCAGCCAACACAGTGGTAGCGAGCTTCCCCCTTGCCCCCAGTCTCTAATTGAGTACCCCAAAAAGGAGCAATGAATGGACTAGTCCCTCCCTTCGTTATACACCAGTTCAGTCTAATTTCTGACATCAATTTCAATTCACTGATTTCTAGCTCTACACTTCTCTTATTTATCATACATGATCTTAACAGAGGCCTTGAGTTATATCCGTAGGGCCTTTTTTTTTTTTGGACTAATTTAGTCCGTCTCCATTTTGTCTCCCCACCCCACCCCCGCACAAACAGTTGTTGTTACAGGGTGTTGTGGCATTTTATTAATTTTCACTCACTTTTCACAGTTGAGCTCACAATTACAGTAACATTGTAGGCCCAAATATCACCACAGACCCCTTTCTCCACCCTTCAGAGCCAGATTTGGTAGGGAGAAGATTGTGGGGAACCAGGTCATCCTCGCTCTCAATGGTTTTCTCACTGCTGCCAGGTATGTATAGGATGTTGACAGACACAGTAAGTTGCAAATTTACCAAGTGTCGGTTTCCAGTAAAGTCCTTGAAAACACACGGGTACACGGTCTCTCTCCTCCTTTCTGCTGTGCTATTAAACGCAGTTTGTCTGTTCAAGGCAACTATGATTTACTGAACTCCATTTAAGTGGGAGTCTCTGTTAGCTGAACTTTGAACAGAACCTAAAAAGGGTGTCATAAGGAGGAGGGAGAAAACTTGTTCATCTTGGCCTCTGAGGATAGAACAAGAAGCAATGGGCTTAAACTGCAGCAAGGGAGGTTTAGGTTGGACATTAGGAAAAAGTTCCTAATTGTCAGGGTGGTCAAACACTGGAATAAATTGCACAGGGAGGTTGTGGAATCCCCATCTCTGGAGCTATTTAAGAGTAGGTTAGATAAATGTCTATCAGGGATGGTCTAGACAGTATTTGGTCCTGCTTTGAGGGCAGCGGACTGGACTCGATGACCTCTCGAGATCCCTTCCAGTCCTAGTATTCTATGATTCTAAGCAAACACCTCCAGAGAGGTTATCCAAACCCAACTTTCTCTCATAGCTGCATTTTGGGCTCCCACAGGCCTCTTCAAAGTAGAAGGTGATGCTAACTGAAGGACAACGGCTTGAAAAATCAGAGGGGTGGAACTTTAGGTTGGAAACTGGAGACCTGTGAAGAGCGTGGAATCTTCTAGACTCAAGAGGGGACATTCTTGTGGGCTTTGATGGGGTGAGGGAGGGGTTTGAGTGCAGATTTCAAAGTTTATAGTGCAGCTCTCATGGTATCAGGTGCACACAGGAGAGAAGTGAGCAATAGAGTCAGAGGTTCATCCTAGAACACCCACTGGGCCCTGGTAATACAACCCAGCTAAATAAAAACAAAAACAGGCTTTTCTTAAGTTACTAAAGTTTTAAAAGAAAGATTGAGAAAATTGGCCTTTTCCTCATTAAGGGGAAATTATTTTCTCCTCTTTATAACAAGAACTGTAATTGACACCAGTGAGCAACATTTTGCTTAAGTCATTGAATGAACAGCCTATCATAACTAAAAAGAGTTTATTTGAAAAGGTATTAACAAAATGTCTAATGTAACCCATTTAACATCAATTTGTGAAATAAAGCATGACGTTTATTTGGGTTTCTGTTCGTCCTTGAAATTCATCAAATTTAAGCTGGACTTAATGGTATCACTGCGAGGGAACCCAATGGTATCACTCCTTATGGACAATAGCAAGAGACACCTAACTGGCAGCACCTTCTTAAAAGGCAGCAAAAATAGCATTGTACTTATTTTCAGAGAGGGGAGCCATAGGAAAAGATTTGAAGTTCTTCTATTGACACACCATAAGGAGTGAGCGGTCTTCAAAAATTATTTTACAGTACAACACGGTGTTTTGTTAATCAGAAGCAACAACGAACACCTTACTATTTTCTTCCACCTTCTCCTGTGGATGTTCATACTACAGGGAGAAAAACAAAAGTATTTTAGAAAAAAAAGTATATTGGTATATACATTGGCAAAAGTAATCCGGAATTAGTTGAAATTTAGACATCAATTGAATTATTTTTTAAACAACCTGTGTTGATTTTAATTGTTCAGTTAGGAGCATTATACTGCCAGGTACAGAGCATCTTCTGTGATGTGACAACTCTAGAATTCAGCATTCTACATTTCACTTTCTGAAGTTAAGCATCGGAGGAAAGGGCTGCACTTCCTCCACCAGCAAGTGCTTGCAAAGTCATCCGTTCCATGGGAAACGGAATCCGGAACTCAGGATCTGACGTGAAAGTGAAAGGTGGTTTTTCTTTAAATTGTCACATGAACATCATTTTAGCTGGTATAATGATCCTCACTAGCATATGGTTTACCCTCTTTGATATGGGGTAGTGTTCCCTGTAAGCTGGGGGTTTGAGGCTCCACTCAGGGGAAGATTCCAATGCCCTTCCTTTGCCTACTTAATAGATAAAAGTTTCTCATTAACAATTCCTCAGCAAATAGATTCATTCTTCATTCGCTTAGCAACTGCTCCTCAGCTGATTAGCAGCTGATTAGCAGAATGTCCACAGTAATGATTTTTCTCTACGGGTGGTGCACATGCCTCAGTGCACTGAAACTATCCCGCATATGTTTGGAAAAAATCCACAGCGGATGGAAAAGATTAGAAGGAACTTTGTATAGGGACCTTGCCTCTCAAGCTTCTAATGCATCAGGCACAAATCAAAAAACACAAGGTCCCCATCCCATCATCACCGGAATACTAAGGCCGTGGTCACAAGCTTCTACAGCTATGCCAAAGACATTAAACTGATCTACGTATAACAGAAGATCAGTGGAGGGAAGGAGGTTTGAGTTTGATAAAACCTTTGTACTTCATCTATAACATTCTGAATGTTTAGTTCAGCTGAACTCCCATGTTAAACAATCTTCTGCTAGAAATCTATGCAAAATATGTAGCTTGGATCCTTGGCATAAATTCAGCATGGCTTAAAATATCTCCTATTGTCAAAGGAATCTGTATGTAGAGATTTTTCATGTTCTTTAAAAAATTAGGGATTGGGTTTTGCTTAAAAAAATAAAGGAAACAGGTAGAGGTAGGAGAAAATATAAGTGACCTTCTAGAGTTACTCTCTTTATTATTTAAAGTGGCTACAGCAGAAGTGTTATCCTAACCCTTAAAAATATTAATGGCTTTATTAGACCATTACATTTTAGCTAAAACCATCCCAAGAGGATCCCCAGAAAAAAAATCCCTCCTTGTCTCCTATTGGTAATGGTAGAGCCTTATAGTGGCATTAGAAGGAGATATGGAGGGACCTGCATGGTGTGAATGCAAGAGGAGTAGGACCATGCAAAGGGCTAAAAATTGCACTTTACCAATTCTATAGTTTTGTACTATTTTTAACAGGGTTCACAAAATGTTGATTTCACTGTTCCAAGAAGAAACACTGCTGCAACTTTTTGGCAAGAAGGTATGGAGAGGGAAGAGTGCGAATTAGAAAAATCTAATCTGCCCCTTGTTGGTTCCTCTAGAATTTGTTTCAGAGCAAGCCCCACCATATATTGTGTTCAACAGATCTTGTCAGGAGCCATTTTATAGATTGGGGAATGATGCCCTGTGCTTCTATGCACAATGTTCCACACAGGCAACCTTCATGAACCATGCTGAACCAGAGGATAAAATACCATATGCATCAATGGGATATTCTTGTCTTGTCTACTTAATGGATAGAAGTTTATCATTAACAATTTCTCAGCAAATAGAATAGTGATAGAAATGTAGCCGTGTTACTCTGGTATGGCTGAAGCAAAATACAGGACTATGTAGCACTTTAAAGACTAACAAGATGGTTTATTAGATGATGAGCTTTTGTGGGCCAGACCCACTTCCTCAGATCAAATAGTGGAAGAAAATAGTCACAGCCATATATACCAAAGGCATTCGCTTAGCAATTGCTCCTCAGCTCAGAATCCTGATACAAAGCTGCTGGTGTTCGGTACCCACCTTTGTGTTTTGTATTGTATCTTCAAAACTCTTCACAGTTTCTTCCAGTACTGAATCCATAGATTGAATTCTGGAAGAAAAAAAATCAACTTGGATAATCTCATTGGATGGCCTCATTTCAGTGTGTCTATAGTTAGTGCTTCATAAATTCATTCCTGGGAATCCCCTAACTCAGAGATCAGCACAATAACCCACTTAAGGAAAACCCTTGGATTTCTGTACTAAGTGCACCTGACTCCCACTGTTAGCCACAGAATGATAATGTTCTTATTTTGCCCACTGCTACCCAGACAGACTGGCGAGAGCTTCCAGTCTTCTCAAGAAAACTTTCAGAAACTTGGGGGGCATACCTGGCATGCATGCTCTCAAATACAGAAGATATGGACCCATCCTGTGGCACCTCCTCAAAAATCCTAGTTGGAGACCAGCTACTCCGTAACAGAAGACATTGGAGCAAGGATACTGGATTTGACAAGCTATTTTAATGTGGTAAAGAGCTGTAGGGACCAATCTGTGGTAGTCAAGGGTTCAATTTGCATTTTGGGTTTATGCAATACCAAAATTCCAAGTAAACCTTCAAAGAAACACCACTGGGTTCTGGTTTATGAAATCTGTTAATGGAAGTTAGTTACTTCAAGCACTTTAAAGTTGGTTCTATACCAAAAGCTCAGATCCAAACACCTAAAAACCATGGGACCATTTAAATCCAAGTTTTGCTCCTCAGGTCCAAATCTACTAGTTACAGATTTCAAGGCAACACTGATTAAAATGGAATAAAAGCGGCTCTCTCTCACCAAAACAAGTTGATCTAATAAAAGATATTACCTCGCCTACCTTGTCTCAAACAAAAAAGTCACAGAAGTAATGATCAGCATCAAAAGTGATCATTTAACTACATCTCTCTAAAATGACATATGTAGAAGAAAGCTGAAAGATAAATACCTTTGCTTTTGATGATTACAGAAAGAGCTCAGTTTGATGGACTGTTTATTCCAGAAATCCTACAAGAGTTTCCCAAAGAGTACATGTGTTATTTTGGAACTGAATATTCAATCCACGTATGGGTTAAAAACAAATTAAGACATACACACCACTGTGTCCTTCTCGAGGCTGGATAAAATTTGAGCATCCTTCTCAAGATGGGCAAGTTCTTGGACAACCACCTTGTGGAAGTTCTCCAATTTATTCAGTCTGTATGCAATAAATGTAAGTTCAGCAGCTTTAAAATGCAGCATTACAAGACAGTGTATTACTACTGTAATTTGATTTATGTAGGTCACAGCTTTTCAGCTTTATAAGGAAAAACAAAAGTAGTTTTCTTTCCAACACATCAAGTCATTTTTTTAAAGTAACTATTTTACAACATAGCTAGCACAGGAAACACTCAGATTTTTTGGCATAGTACATGTCTTCAGACAAGTGAGAGAGCAATATCTCACAAAGGTAAATATAAGGAAATTTGTGGAAATAAGGTAAAAGCAGGTACATTTCTCAAGTCAGAACTATCCCGAGGGAAGTACTTTGCCAAGACACCACAGTCAGACACACATGAGCAAGCAAGAATAATTTGCACATGGGGATTAGAGGGACTGGTTATATAATATAAAGGCTTTATCTTCTTAAGTTACAGCTTTTTCAATAGGTGCATGTACAGTACATACCATAGGTATTATACCAGATGGCAGCTTTTCAGTGGCCTGTATTAGACAAATATCTCTGTCCAGCTCACAGTGGGCAAATACATAATGCCACAAACTCCTGCTGCTCCTGGGCACCACTAAAGTCAATGGGCCAAAGGTGTGAACACAGGCTTGGCATAACAGGGCAGCCACTTCGTCAGCCCTACTGAAGAGTATATTAATTTCAAGGGCCTATTCAGATATAGTGTTGTTAAAATGCAGCCTGTTGCTTATTCAATGTACTAGTTAGTGTGGACAAAGAACTATCCACCAAACTTTCCCAAGTGTATATATTCTACCCAATTAGAAAATGACAGAGGAAAAAGTAACCTAAGAGCAGGTCAATTTTTTTTCAAAACTCAAAATTGACAAAATTTCATAATTCAAAATTAAAAGCAAAAGTTTTTAAGTTTTTATAAAATGAATGTTTTCATTTCTGACCAGTTCTAGGAAAAGCACAACAGCTATTTTCTACACTAAACTTAGAAGAGAAATTAAATTTTGTTTTTTTGTTTTGTTTTGTTTGTTTTTGCTTCTGCATTTACATCGAGGTACAGTTCAAGTGATATATTTTATCCAGTTGTTATTCAATGAGTAGTACATGTGGTCTGTGTAGTTTATAAGTTCAAGATGTAGTACTTGGAACTATTTCACACTGCCATTGCCAAATCCTCCACACTATTGCACATTAGTGAGCACAGAAAAATGTGAGAGGCTCATGATTATTCTGAATCAGTATTGATCTCAAAGTGTGCTTGTGCATTACGTGTACACATACAGATACAAATAGATTTATATTTATGCAGTTATTCATAATACCTTAATTGACTATAAAAAGAACATTAAGAATATGAAAAACTTCCTAGCAATTGATGTCTGTTTCATTATTTTTCTATTTGAAGGAGAGGCAGATGAGATGCAGTTTGCGGGCATCAAACAAAAGAAGAATTTATGAAGCTGACTTTTTAACATGGACTGCCAGTCAATGGGACACTAAGTGCCTGATGTCCACTTTCTTAGCTCCACACCCTTTGCATTGATTCCGTTCTCATTCCTTTTGCAGGAAAGTGGGTTATGCAGTAATTACATTGCCTCCACATGCAACTCCACTAGCTAGGGAGGAGTTCCTGAGAAGGGAATAGCCACATTCACCACAAACAAGTTGAGCTTTACAGGAGCTCTGCTGCTGATGGATTTTTTTAAACAAGTCAGCTACTGTCATTTTTTGTTGTAAACTTAAGTGTAATGCTTGAATGCCTTTTGTAAGAGAACTGGAGAGTCACTTGTCAAAATTACTAGAAAACTCATGCAAAGGTGAAGCTGGTTTTCGCAAATAGCACGTTAGTTACCTGCATTGATGCATCTGATTTAATAAAGCTGACACATTTTTTTCAGAAGCCTTCAAAGCATTTTTTGCACAAATCTCCATTCTTTTGTACCTGGACTAGACCACAACATACACATCTTAGCATATAATGTCCAAACCAAACAAAAAGCTAAATCTAAACTTTTTCCATAGATGCAGTTGTACTTGTTTAGCTAATCTGGTGCCATCCTTTATGTATCCACTTATTATGGTTTAGTTTAAATCTGTTTAACAAACAAAGACTAAATTGAAATACAGCACAAACACATATACATTCTAAATATATGGGCGACCCTCAAATCTGCAACTAGAAGTAGTAGGTATGTAACTATTGTATTGGGTTATGGTTAAAATCTGTTGTCCCTTTCCTTCTGTCCATCACTTCAAATTATTTGGAACATCTATTTACACAAACTGACATCACAGAATAAAGTTTCACTTAAAAGAACTCTTCATTCAATTAAAACCACCATCCTGCAACCAAACCATTACCTCCCCTAGGTCATTTCAGAGAATTGCTGGGCCTTGCAGCATACCCAGATATGGGGGAATGAGTTCCAGAATAAAGGACTCTCCATCTGAAGTATTCACCCTTTCGCTAGATGTATTAGTTTAGGGACAATAAGATCAGGCATCCCAGCTAATCAGCTCTTTGGTTGCTTTGTTTAGGTATAGCCAAGTCACACACTGCATACACTCCAGGAAAATTATCCAGACTGTACAGTTACCCAGAATGTTTTCTTTAGTTGGCTGGTAAAGCTTTCAAAAGCAGCTATGACATCAGAATCACCGACGTCCTCATGCAGTACCTTGGAGACAAAGTTGTCATCTAATTCATCTGATTTCTCCCCTGTAAGACAGGAAGGTGCAACTCGAGGCAAAACATTTTCAAAGCACTTGAACAGACCTGATTCTAATTGTTGTCTGTTGCACTCCAGCACATGGCTTTCACACCAATGAGACCACAATGGCAATCTAAGTTAGAGGTGAGCGAGATGGTGTTTCATCATAGTCTAGTCACCTCTTCCAAAGTTCATGGAAACTGGAGCTGAATAGTCTCAAAAGGAAGTTGGACAGAACTGTCAATATACTACAAACAATTGCATTGCAGGACACATATTTGGACACCAAACACAGAATGTATTAACATGTAAATATGGGCCATCAGACCAAAAAATATCAGACTTCCTAATAGCTTAATGATGATCAGGCTTGTTTCCAGATCAACCCTTTACTAGGAATGGAAACTACATAGAGAAATGAGCCAATAAAACTTCCTGCTACTCTCTGGTTGCAACCTGCAAATACCCCATCTTGGGCTCCTTTGTTTCCACTCCCCAGCAGGAAACATGTCCCAGGGATACCAAAGACTCTACACTCTCTATAATGAGTATGACTTCTGCACCCTCTGGAGAATTTACTCTGTAGAACAGGCCTTGATACAGCCTCTTTGCTGTGTGTCATCATTTACAGTCGTTTTGCACTGATGTTACCCACTACCATTCTGATTTGGTAGTGTTCTCCATGTACTTTACACAAAGGTGGCTAATAACTACAGAAGGAGCAAGACAGTGGGCTTAAATGTCCATTAAGTTGAAACCTGGGAACAGGTAAACTTGAAACTGCTGCTGTTTCAGGGAGTTTATATGTCAAGTCCATGCAGCTTCCCCACCACGGCTTGCAACCAATGAGACCATTTCTCCTCTCATTTATATCTCTAATTCTGTTTCTAGGGAGTTATGTGTACTTTTGTGAGTTCGCAATCTGATCCACTTCTCTGCCCCATTAGAAGAACTCAGAGGACTTCGCTATAGTTTTTTCTAGTTTTAGGCACAAACTACAATTGGGTTGTGCCCATGAAAACTCATGGTATCATCTACATTTTGTGTTGGTCTCTAATGTGCTGCAAGACTATTAGTTGTTTAAGTTTTTTTTTTTAGTTACAGACTAACACGGCTACCCCTCAAACTCATTTTAACCATTGGCCTGATGTTACCTGTTGGAATTTCCTTTTTCTCTGTTGAATCAAAAAGTTTCCTTGGTTCAAAGGGAATGCCAGGAGATGACTGATCCATTTCCCATGTAGAAAGTTTAGGCTTTTTCACGACCCCACCAGGTGATAGATCTAAAAAACAATACCCATATAGTAGAGATCCATAACTAATTCCACACTGAGCATTTAGCACTACTGAACAGTTACCTACTGGCCTTGCAACAGCTGGCACTGTTGGCTGGTTTACAAGAGTCTCAGGGTATGTCTTCACTACCTTCTGGACTGATGGACAAAGACTGATCCAGTGGGAATCAATTTATCACAACTAGTATAGACCCAATAAATCGACCACTGACAGCTCTCCCATCAATTCCGGTACTCCACCAAAATGAGAAAAGTAAGCAGAGTTGATGAGAGAGTGTCAGCCAACAACTTACCATGGCAAAGATACTGTGGTAAATAGAGCCAAGTACACTGACTTCAGCTACATTATTCACTCAGTGAACTATCAGAAGGGTACGAGACACATTGGTTGTACATTTGTGCAGGACAATTTCGAACATGAGTGCATGTTGCTTCGTCTCCACCACTTCCAGCATGAGCAGCTGAGCTGCTGGGATGGAGGGAAATAAGGACCCCCAGTAAAACTTCAAACAGGTTAATGACATTAGGGCTTAGGCTCATCTCAGTAGACAGAAGCCATATTTTAAGGAAGACAGTTACAAAAAGAGTCCTCACTGTCAGCTTTAATGATGTAAGATTGATGAGGTGTGCATGGTGTAACGTGTGCTTTTTGAAGTCTATGCAGGGCTAGAAGGACAGGAGAGAAATAGGAATTCTATGGATTATTCCTAAACTCTGCAAGGCGGAGCATGGGCAGGAGCAGCTGGGGTCTATGAGTGGCTCATGAGCTCTACAAGGTAGTGTCATCTTGGCCAAGTAGGTCTCCAAATAAAAGCACACAATATCACACTGCATGTTCTATAAATAACTAATTCTGCCACCATATAGCCACCCAACCAGCTAACAGGCCGGTGTTCATATTGTAGATTAGAGTTACAACTGCTGACCATTAACTGCAAATGACAAATTCAGACATACTAACTCTCCCTTCTCTTGCACAGGGTAGTTCAGAGAACTGCTAGTGTAACTCACACACCTGCTGGGTGTGGTGTACTGTTTCATACAGATGTATTGTAGCATAAGCTTTTGTGGGCAAAGACCAGCTTCGTCAGATGCACGTAGTGGAAATTTCCAGAGGCAGGTATAAATATGCAGGCCAGAATAAGGCTGGAGATAACGAGGTTAATTCAGTCAAGGAGAGTGAGACCCACTTCTAGCAGCTGATGTGGAGGTATGAACACCAAGGGAGGAGAAACTGTTTTTGTACTTGGCTAACCATTCACAGTCTTTGTTTAATCCTAAACTGATGGTGTCAAATTAGGTGTTCAAACTAGTGAAGGTATGCCTGCTTGTACTCAGAACTACACCCCCAACTTCAAGTGTGGGCATAGTCTTAGGTTCGTGTCCTACAAGCATTGGGTGCTTACGCAGCTTATAGCTGCAAGTGTCAGACTCACAACAGATTTTGGTGTGTTTTTTTAAACCAACAGTTCCTTGATATGCTATATATACACATAGTAACATAATAGCAACCTTATTAGCAACCTGTATTTTGTCCACTAAATGAATCAGTGTCAAGAACATTTGTATATCTACCACACCTCAAAAGCTTATTATTTAGTTATCGTACAAGTGGTTTGCTTCTAATAAGAAAAGATGTGCCACAGCAGATTAGAACAGGATTACGTGAATTTCATCCTCACGTCACTGGTAATTTATTTACTTAGAGCAGATGAAAGTCCTTCTTTACTGATGCTTCTTAAGTATGGGAATTAAAACAACTTGCTAACACAAGCAGTACTCCACCATTGAACTGTAAGCAAAATAGGTCACAAGAGGGGAAAAATATATATAAAGAAAGAAGTTATTATAATAATTCTTCTTTTGCTAAAGCCAGGCAAAATTGTTTGATTTTGCTTCAGCTAAAATTTACAGCTCTGTCAATAAGCCATTATTACAGAAAACTTTTGATTCAATAATAGTCAATAAGTGACTTAAGAATTGAGTAGCCAGGCAAATGATGAGTCATGCACCACTATCAACGTGGCATTCCCTTTTGACACCTGGTTAGATCACCAGAACCCTTATGCTTTTCTAACAAACTCTACACTCATTCTAGGCTTTGCCCTCCTCTGAAATGCCAGACAGTTCCACAAAGGTCAAACAGAAAGCATTAGTAGAGAAAGGTGCTAAAGAAAGCAGTGTTATATTGATAATTACAAAGATAGATGACTCCCTGAAGATCACAAGAGCCAACAGTGATGCTGGGTCTCTAGCAAGGTTGGGGGAGGTGGAAGGGTGGCGCCACGCTCCCAAAAGGGGCAGGACCTCTGGCATGGGTGGGGTCAGGACCAGGACAGCTAGTCCTCAGCACTGCCCAGAGTGCACCACACTGCCCTTCTATCCCTTAAAGCCACTAGGATCATGTTGCGTGGTGCTCCAGCAGTGATTTAAAAGGCCAGGGGCTCTGGGCACCACCACCGCTGCAGTAACTACAGCTGGGAGCCCAGGTCCTTTTGAATCACCAGGCCCCAAGACAGATAACTCCCCGTCCCACACACACACGCACCCCAGTGGGCCCTGCGGAAGATACATACAACTGCATGCACACTCTGCTACAAATGAACTGTGATCACTCAAAAAAAGATAGCAGATGGTAACCATGCAAAACAAGAAAAGAATTAGATTTCTACATACTAGAAATGTAATGCCCACAGGGCCGGCTCGAGCCATTCCTGTGCCCCGGGCAGAGGCCCCGCCCCCTGGCACACTGCACACCTTACAACTGCAATTGGTCACGTGGCACCTGATTGCAGCTCTAAGGGGCACCGCGCAGCCGCCAGCCCTGGGCGCACAGCGCCCCTTACAGCTGCCATCAGGCGCCCCCCATAGGTTGGTGCCCCTGTCAGCTGCCTGGCTAGCCCCCCACACTTAATCGGGCCTGGAGTGCCCAACAAGAGAGAAACTAAAACATTTCAATATTGTGAAGCCCCCCCGCATTGTGCTTGCATTTAATAGAAATGCTGCACAGTAAAATCAAAAGTACTGTTATTGCAAAGGTGTGAAATAGAATTACCATGAGCGTAAAGTTTACCCTCTGCTCTGACAGCTGACACATATACCAGACCCTTTTTAAATTAAGTGATGATGTAATTGCATCATAACTCTCAATATGTAATAAGGTTCAGATTTCCCCACCCCATTTTCCCCACCGTATTCTTTGGGTCTTTGTTCAGCATCTCTCAGCTTGATAGTCTCATTACTGGTTATTGTGGTAAAAAAATATGAGCATTCTAGACATGAATGAAGTCATATAAGAGCTACAGCACAGAATTAACAGTATTGCAACTTGCACAACAAGAAAATGAAATCTATTCATACACTTGGCATTTAGAGAGAGGATTTCAGAGACCTTGATGGCCCAATTCCATGGGATTATGCTTTGAAAAAGCTTCTATTTTCTTACTTAGACAAGGTCTACTATACCTGAGCCGCCTCGTTTAAGTTTGGAGACTTTATCTTCTCCTGGCAATTTACTGGATACCTCCTCATATTTCTAGAGAGAGAGAAAAGATGCACTGGGTTATTGGTGTATCTAGGAAACAATGCACCTTATTTTCAAGCAAAACTTATTTTACCCCATTTTAATTTGCTTACACTGGTTTTAATACTAATATATAAGCAATAAGTACTGTAAACCTCACCTCTCCGGCATCAGAATCCTCATGAGAAGATACACTTAATGGGAGTGTCAGATCATCTGCTTCCAAATTATCTGAAAAAAAGGGCTTTAACTGTGTAAGTGGTGTATCAATAATCAATACAAACAATTGATTTCGGATTGTATAATTGACCAAGAAATATTCAATGCACAGAAATTTTTAACAACCAATCCCAACGCCACCAGCGTCTTCTACAATCAGTACGTTGAGTGTGCGCTATTGTATTGTGAGCTGCAGCTGAACAGCATTCTTTCATGTTACAGGACTGCTGTGTATTGCTGCTGCAGTCGGAGGCAATACACACATCACTACCTATTCCAGCAAGCATGCTTCTGGAGGGGACCAAATAAGGAAGAGAAAAATGAACATATTTTAGAGTATTACAGGTATTTACAAAATTCTGTGCAACCTGGACAAGCTACAAGCAGGGACACAACCAGCAGGATAATTGTTGTGAGGATAAGTCATGAAAGGAATTAGGTGGCATTTTATTACAGTAGCTTTTTCAGACATGAATATAGTACTTTGTAAAAATTGTTGGATAGCTAGCTAATTTTTCTTGCCCTAAGCAATAAGGTGTAGCTTATCACTATATATCACATCACATTTGGATCCAAATATTACAGGACACAATAGCATTGTGCAGGCCCACTGATGGGAAGAGGAAGATAAAGTGGGGAGTTGCTCCAGGGTCTACTAATACAAAAGGGCCCAGAGTTCCCAGCCATCACCACCCCAAGACTTTTTTTTAAAATGACTGCTCGAACCCCACATGGCATGCTCTAGGCAATGCTAAGGGCTGTGAGTGGGAGCCAGCGTGGCATGTTCTGGGTAGCATGGAGGGCTGCCTAGCCCCAACCCTGCCCCCTCTCTCTGAGATCCCCCCCCTTTCCAGGGACACAGAGCAAGGCCCCCCATGACTTGCCTAGGGACCCAGCAAGGCTGCTGTAGTTACTTGCATGCAGTAGGACTGAAGGTAATATATAAATGACAGATGAAATCATTTCAGTTTAAGAATATTAGTGTATGTGTTAGGAATAGTTATATCTTAGGAGAAACTAGTATTGTGGAAGGAAAATATTCAGCAAAGATTTCTTTCAAATATAAAACAATACAAATCATTCATCAGTTTAACAGCCTCTCTACAAATATAAGAGTCCTATTCAGAAAAGAAAATTCCAATTTTCATGGACTTGGATGTTGACCTCATGTTCAGTTCCCATGGCTCAAGTGCCAAAAATCCTACATCTGATTTCTTCCCCTCCATCCACTGGGACTGGAAATTCAAGCATAGATGACAAACTCATCTTGCACCTGTGTATCACAGAACAAAACATCACCTAGCAATTCCCCCCACCTCTCAAAACAGTTCACTTAAAACAGACGGATTCTCATCACTGCTGTGAGTGACACCAGTAGGCAGGGAACAGAGACACAGAAGGAATACAAAATGTATGTGGCCTCTTTCTAGTAGTCTATACAATGGGGGGCGGGGGGAAGGAGGAGGAGGGAGTACCAGGCTGTTCCACTGTAGAGAAATCAAGCCTCGTTGCACTGGATTTGGTTTCCTTCTTCTGCACTTCCCTGTGCATTGTCTGTCTTGAAACACCAACCTAAAATATATGTATTTTAAGCACCTATTTCATTCAAGAAGTAAAATAACCATTAATAGTGACTAAGATATTAGCAAGTATAGAATCCTAGAGGGAGATATCAGGAAACACCCAAGGGATTTAGGAACACAAGTGTCATTTATTTGCAAGAGACTCATGCTTTTAAATCTGAGGCAATTCTACAATTTCCTTTTTAGCAAGTACAGCTGCAACCCAAGTCATTCCTGGTATGAAGCAGCAAAAAAAGTTTAAAGAGAACAAAAGGAGAAAAAGTGGAAGCTGGATATAAGCTTTCTGACTGTTACTGATTATTTATCATATTTTTGCACACATTTTGAAGTTCATACAGTTTCTCCTAAGCTCACAAGATACTGCAATGCTGACATATGGCACACTGGAAAAGTTTGAACAAAATATGTAGCACTTTAAAGACTAACAAGATGGTTTACTAGGTGATGAGCTTTCGTGGGCCAGACCCACTTCCTCAGATCAAATAGTGGAAGAAAACAGTCAACCATATATACCAAAGGATACAATTACCAAAAAAAAAAAAAAACCACCACACATATGAAAAGGACAAATCAGATTTCAGAACAGAAGGGGGATGCAGGGACCAGAAACTTCAGGATCTCTACCAAGCATTTATAAACCTCAACTACCCACCCGGAGAAATAAAAAAGCAAATTGAAAGAGCCAGACTAATACCTAGAAACCATTTACTTCAAGACAGACCCAAGAAAACCAACAATAGAACACCACTTGTCATCACCTAGAGCCCCCAACTTAAACCTGTCCAACACATTATCAATAAACTACAGCCTATACTGGAACAGGATACCAAACTCCAAGAGGCTCTGGGAGACAGACCCATAGTCTAGGGCTAGCCTAGGGCTATGTCTAGACTGCAAGCCTCTTTCGAAAGAGCGCGTCTAGACTACAATATGCGGATCGGAAAAATCGATCCGCTTTTTCGAAAAAGAGCGTCCTGACTGCTGGACGCTCTTTCGAAATTCAAAGCCACCCGGAACCGCTTCTGCCAGGGCATGGGGGCAGCATTTCCTTCCGGGTGCTGCTGCCTGCCCTTTGCAGAGACGCGTGGTTAAAGGGACGCCCCTGAACACCCGTTGCTCTGCTTCTGCAGCT